TTATATATTGAAAATATCAATACGAATATGTGCAACAGAAGTGGATAGATAAACAGACTCACCGGATTGATCTGGTTTGGAGAATTGACCAAGTTTGAACTGTGCTCGAGGAATTGGGTTACTGGTTGTGGTTCGCCAGATGTGCGTGTTCCCAATACGGCTCACCAGTTTGTAGTGGATGTCGAGTCGAAGACGGACTATGATCACCACTACAATTCGATTACGCGCCCAAAAAACGACTTGGTTCCTTTGATAGCTCGTAAATCAGAGTGCTTTATTAATCCAGATCAAGTATATTTATTGGCGATCTCGTGGTATCGAAATAATATCGAGACGTGCCAAAGAGTACAGACAAAATGAGCAGTGCGTGAGCAAGTTCCAACCAAACAAGGCGGAGAGCGAAAGCAGAAGTGAAACTGATACAGTTAAACAACTACAGTAAAACAATCTCTGGTACAATTGGTCACAACAATAATGATTGTTTCTGTTATTCCAATCGTGTTCTTATCGAGACTGGCCGGTCACTACAGAATAATCCACAATTATTAATCTCTTGTGCACAGCTGGCAAATCCACTCAAGTTTTTTTGACACCACATTGAATGATAACACAGTTAAACCAGTAGTTAACCATGAACAATGGCTAATGTTCGTATATCATTAATCACATTGGTTTCATGGATAAGTACGACGTAAGATGACCTTCGAAGAACACGATATTAAAAGACTTGTCATCGTTTAGCTGAAATATACAGTAGAGACCTCATCGTAACTTCCTCTATGCTGCTATATATATATACCAAGAATCCATTTTAACAGTGTAATAGTATAATTCCACCACGTTAATCTGTAATTCATTGTCTTAGTCCATTACGGATAGATGAAAATACTTCAATAGTTATTCAAAAAGTGATAAACTGAAGCACTGTAACTTGTTAAACTCGTCTATCAATAACTATTTAATGCTTCAGAGAATTAGTTCATCGATAACATAACTTGACTTGGGATATATATCCGTCATATTGCCATCCGTTATACTTTGGAATACAGATTTATCTGCTGACTTCCTTTCCATATGTATCTGTGTACTACTAGCCACATATTATTTATCACGAATCGGTTAATTGCATTATGAATTATTTGAAAAGAAGCTTTTAAACTAATGATATTTACAGCCAGTATTCAGTCAAACCTGATTAAAGAGTTAATCTTATTTGACACTCGTCACCATGGTGAATCTGCAATCTTGAGGTAATTAATGATCCCAATGGTATTCGATTTTATCCTACACATGGTCAAATTACTTAGTTTGACGAATACGTTACAATTCAGTCAACAGAACTCGATAAGCATCGAGAAACTACTGAACATATCATTTATTGCTATGAAGTTACCAACTATTATGTAAAAGGTTCAATCCTACAGGTCAGTCTCTACCTAAACAACTCAGGAATAAGGTCTTTAACCGTGACACTGATTGTTGAGATTTTGAATTCCATATGGAACATTATCCCTATTTATGACTGGTGTATACGTTCATGATTGATGTGTCAGTCACCGTCAAGCTTAGATACGTGGTTTCTTTTGCTTACCACTAACCACATGACATAAAATAATGTTTCACTCTTATCTTTAAGTAATTAAATTAGCAGCCACATGATCAACAGGATCTCATAAGCAGTAATGGACAAGGCGATATTATGTCGTTTACCAACTCATTAATCAGCCATTCTTTTTTGAAATTGTTCTTGCTAAATATTTGCTTCTTTTTTCGTAATTTCAGTGATTTCAACCGTCTTCCTGATTTTTTATTCCAGTCCGATGTATTATTATCATGTAGTCCATTTCTATTAACGGTCTGCGGTGAATAACTCCTACTACAAATAACTTTGTTTTTTGTCCTCCTACCAGTTTTTATTTATTTCAGTAAACTATTTTTATTTAGTGCAATAATATCATTTTCGTAAACAATATCGTCCTTCATGATAATTGCCAGTTTCAGATGTCTAACAGTTCTATTTCTTTCCGTTTCATGTACAAGATTGAATTCACCAGTCCGTGTGTGGTATACCAAACTATGGCAATGAACGCTTGAGAATGTTAGTCGACATTGTTCGATGAGTGGAATAATAATGTAAACCAATAGTACTCATGTCTTGAAAGCAGTGTACCCATCAACATTCCAACGGCATCCATATCCATTAAAATTAATTTCATCGGAGCTGTTTGAAAGAGGTTTTGATGTAGTAGTCAACTGATGAAATGATAACTTGAAGTCAATCAGTCACAACGTTGAACCTTTACGTATGTACATCAGTTCAATTTGCCTTACCCCATAAGCAAATCGGGATGAAATTGTGTTATATCTGAAGCTTATATTCTTGATATACCGCATATTACTTGAGCACCGAAACTCTAGAACCCTTCAACTCACAAATGGGAAGACAGAAGACAAGTGAAAGGGAATGTCATTCCAAACAGTGTCAAATGTGGTGCAAAACTATACGGTATTTATAGTTTTTAGTAAAAACAAAATTATAATTACATTCATGTAATCCTCATATAGTGGTTTTCGGTATTTGACCAATAGGGAAGCCAGTCGTCGAAATTCTGGAGTGTTCTTCCAGAGGATAATTGTATGGAATGTCTTCGGCTCCTTCTGGTTTTTTTAAGCCTGCCTTGAGTTCATCAGTTGCCCGTTCTCACAAGTTGTCAGGCCGAGCCACAGAATAGTAGAGTCAGTGACAGTATCAGCGGTAATAAAAGTGATTGGGCATCGGACAAACAATTTTCAAAAGAAGATATATATTGACGAAATAAGAACAAAAAAGTTATGAGGAACTTAGAATCTCAGGATTGGGTGAGAAGACATGGACGGGATACACCTGCGCCATTACAAATGATGTTGAGCAATTTTATTAAGTCTCTAACCATTGATTACTACAATAACATGGATCCCAAACACGTAGTCAGTACCTATTTACATGGTTAGGTCCAATTGTCAGTGACTTCATGGACCAGTGCCATATTTTGACTTGACCGCTTCTAGCTCCTTTCTAGCCTACTCCTACACTAAACAACATCACCCGTCGATCTAGTCGGTGATTTGACATCTCAGCTGATGAAGATTTAGTACATCGTTAATCAGTTTGCCATCCTTACCTAGTATTCTATTTCTTATAGAAGATCAATCCCTAAAAGGTTAGACTATGTAAGTGTTGCCTCTGAAATCATGTCTTTAATGAAGCCTCATAAAAAAGGAGAAAGCAAACAACCCTGACGAACACCAATTGTAGTAACCCATGACGATTGATATTTGCCATAGCATTAGACTCAAACAGTAGTGTTCGAGTAGAAAGCCTATGCAAAGCAATGGACTTCCTTGGAATGCCTTTCAATGATAGACACTGCCGTAGAACCTCACAATTCCGAAGAAAAGACAGATGTCCATTGTGCCCCGTCAAAAATGACTGATGGTAATGTGATGTATTCGAGTCTATCGTCGAGTCGAATTTTTATGATCACCACATCAAACGATGATCGCCCTTGTGTTTGAAGTTGGAGTTTATTAGAAATGGACGGTTGTCTGAATACTGTTGCCACAATCTGTTCGCTCAGCTGCAACACGGTATGGTCCGCATCGGTGCATTTTGGTCTGGATTAGAATGCTTGATCCAGAAATAAAATACACCGGCACAACAACTGAAAATAGAATTTTTTTCTGGAGGTTCGTTTGATTTCTACAAAATCCATCGTTGAATTCATCAGAGCTGCAATCAGTGAGGGCGTAGGCAGAGAAAACAAAAAGAAAGATGGCATGTCCCCATATATTCTAGCTCTCACTGTCCCATTCAGTGGAACAGCGCGAAAGCGACTGTCTATTGGAATTCAATCTAACACATCCTGTCCCGCTTTCGGACTTAATCATTTACCTACACCTACGAGGACAGGGGGATCAGGAATTGTGTCTTTAGATACACGTAGGGTAAATCGTGTCAGTCCTTTGTATTGACTGGGTTAGATCGTAGGAATGACCATTCTTGGATTTTGTGTGCGCGTTTCGGAGACTCGACATACATCGATGGTGCGATATTTTTCTGTCCTAGCCAACGAGTGCGGTTTTCTCATCTGACACGAGGAAAGAAAACTAAAACCTGACACGTAGTGCCTGATAAAACGTTCAAACTACTCATTCAATTCTCTCAGCCTCCTCCTAGACTCCAACTATTATCATGTCGTAACAACACATTATTGTCTGATTATTAACCACTAGACAGTTAAATATGAGACATTCTACGACGGAAATCTCCAGCAACCGCCACTCAGTGGCACGATTCGGAAAAGCATAAACCGGGGTTTTGTTTTTGTTCCAATCTTCAACAGAACAAAGAAGTAATATAGCACACAATTTATCGGTAAAACTGAAATGTAATCAATTAGAACAATGCAGAGTGTAATTTATTTAGAAGGAAACGTTTCAGCTTTGCTTAACGACCAGCAACTGAATTCATTTTTCTTTAATTAAGTGATGATTTGCATGTCTGACGGATATCACATCTGAAATTGCGGTAAACATTCAACATTTGTAAATATATAGAAGCACTAAAATACCATTCACATTTAGCAATACAGCTAACATAAGTCCGACTGTTTAGTGGTCCAAGGAGCTAATTTCTGAAGCATGGATGTCTTAGTTAACTAATGTTGAACACGTATATAGCTTGTTTTGAATGTATTTGATTTCATGTTTCAGACAATTCTGTCGCTGTTGGACGACTTTACGTACTGTGCCATGACAAAACGAATGGGATCAATATTATGATAATAAATCTGATTGATGTGGTTGACCTTTCACAACACTGTGAATGACACTAACTATTTGCCACTTATTGACATACAGTAAAAAAAACCATGAGCGAAATATATCCACAGTGAAAATTATTGAAATCGCGGTCATTCACGTGACCGCTTTGCTCAATTCAAAATCCATAAGATGATAACTTACGCATTCACATGTTGGACAAATATCTGTCGGTGGCCTTGCATATCTATTGCCTCGGAATTGCAACTGAAAGTAAATAAAATTAAGTGAACTTCGAGTGATTGGTTTAAAATTTCCCATGGATGCCTTGCAAAATGTAGTTTCCGGTGATTTTGGTTGACATATCTTTCTCTTGCGTCATGCACGAACAAATATACTTTCATGGTTTTGTTTCAAAAGAAGTGAAACAATTAACATAATTTGAAAGTTAGTTCTCTGGGAACACAAAGATGACGTGAGGTTGTTGAGGTGTACATTTTTATGGAAGTACTCATTTCTCATTGTTAATACTAAGGACGCATGAATGATGTTGAGAAAACATACATTCATATGTCAATTGTTGTATAACTGATCAGCTTAGTGTGAGTCATACATAGTAAGAAGCAACTCGAAAACGGGATGCAAGTGAATGAATTTATGAGTGTGTACAATCGTTAGTGCGTCAGATTACATTGATAAATTACTATATTCTTATGAAACACAAATCGACTTACGTCACCAAGCAGAGCAAGATGCTTTATTGAAAGAATAAATGTATTAAAAACGTGAAACGTCGATCAACAGATATAGTACTTGTGACATTACACTTGCGAAATGATACAACACATTCCGCTTCACAATTTAACATGCCACGTAAACCTGCTTAGAACAAAATCATCCAAGGAGCAATTTCAAGTAGTCATTTTTTCCGTGGTGAATGACTATTGAAATAATATTGTTTGAATGAATGGGCTCGAAGTTGATCTTCACGTGTCAAACACACCTTTTGTAGTTAAAAGTCTTATGATACCAACAGCGTCTCACTCCTTTCAAGTACTATGTACGGGTGATAATGAAACTGGAAATTGTGCTTTATCATTCGTTGTGTGATTCATTAAAATACAACACCTATAAACAGCGCAATAACAAGGAAATGCCTTTGTCAATGTGATTGACAACGGTAAAATAATTTGCAGTTTGTATGGAGGTGTTGTAGCACACTCACTATTGGGTGCGCGCAACAATATACACATGACATTGTCGCCAATGTTCAGCAAGGTTTTCGAAATCGTATATTTTCATAACAGAATTTTATGTATTCATCCAAATACTTACGCATTTACATTTCCAACAAGTGAAAGGAACGTCATAGGTGACAAGACCATGACGAGACTGTTGAATAAAAGCAAGAGAGAAATATTTGAGAATTAAGTGTTTAACCTAGTTCCATTTACATTCTGTCACTTAAGATTACACCAGTTTTTCTAACTGAAACACTACTAAATATCGCTATAAAATCTCAAACTCTCATCAGATGATGTAAGCCCGTTTCTCAGTTACGTTGGAAACGCTGTGCCTGAAATCGATTTCATGGAGGGCTGTACCCTCCGATATCGTAATTTCTTGAAGTGCATATCTCCTCACCGACATACAATAACTCTACTTAGAATGACTAAAATGGAAAGTCGTTTGGCGCTATGCGCAATTATCAACTGTATCAACAACAAATATTTTGCTTCATGTGTATGTCATTGCAAGCGACATAGGTGACGACATTTTAAATAATGAATATCATGTTAGCAAACGTATCACTTGAGAAACGGATAAATCACCGGCCATGTTGTGCGAACAAAATTTCATTCACAAGTATATTCCTTAATACAACTGATATGACAGAAATTATGATCAAAACAGAAATAAGTGTCCCAACACATACAGCACAATATTGATGGTAGGTCTGTCAACTAGTCACCCATCTTATACAATCGGTTATCATTTACGTCAAAATAGTCGGTTCAATGAAGGAAACGTTAACCCTAAGATTATTATCTTGTGAAGTATCAAAACAACTGTAGTCATATCTAGAATACGTGACACGGGTGGTAATTCAATTACAAGTAGAATTTGTGCACTGTTCAGTTCGTATTATTCTTCGAAGTATTTCGGTGAAGTCGGAATTCTCTGAAGTGGTATTGCTTTCATTAGAAACACATCAACGTTCTACGTAGTATGAAAGCCTGCATACATTCAGTGGATGAAATATTCGGCTTAACATCTTTGTGAGTTTATCGTACTATGAGGTCAGTTGCGAAATATAGGCACGTGTGAATCGATCATATCTAGTAAACTTTCATTGACATGGATGAGTGATGTGTTTAGCAAATAATGATCTGAACCAGTCAAATCATCTCATATTTGTATTGTGAATGAGTTAACAGAGAAACAATGGAATGATCTGTGCTTACTTGTAGGTGTGCTGAAAAGCATAAACAAATCAACGTTCATACATTGCTATATATTGAGCGAGTGTGCAATGATCGCATAAACACAGCGGGATCACTAACTACATGTTAAGTCAATCACAAATGACAGCAAGAATATTAGTATCTGTATAATTTGATCACAGCATTTGTATCGGAGCCGCTTTCTACTGCACGTCAGTCTCCGACTAAACGAAATATCTTTACAAAGTGTTAGAATACGCCCACTCAAGTATTTTCGAATTGATGATAAGCTACGCTTATGTCATGATATACTTATCCTTATTCAGGTGAAAATTCCAATGACTTGTTGTTGTACGGCTCAACTTATTGGTATCGACAACGAGAACTTACATCACAGCAGCCTTTATGATTTGAAATTTTGGCTGACCATACAATGAATCAAACCTATTTTTATGTAAACCATGGAATGTGTAGAGGATGAGCTTCACTAATATGTTGCAATCAATGTCACAAAACCTGGTGAATCGAAAAAACCGTGATATAACGTAGGCGTTTCAAACAAGATAAATTCAAAAAATTCAGCAATGTAACACAAAGTGCAAGATATAGTTTCGTTGATAGACCTTCAAACACCAGTCAACAACAAATATCGGTTTTTGAACATTTCAATATTTATACAGCCTGTCAAATGAGAGAGTGAATATATTCAAGAGATAACTGACAACTTGGTGTAAGTAAAGTGTGTCAATGGCTGACAATTCACTAGATAATCAAAAATGTGCAGTCATGAAACAACAAAAATACGCATCTGTTCACGTTTCTGTACACTTACCTTGTTTCTCTGGAAGTCCAATGAGTATCAGACACACAAGCAGAGTGAAGGACATTAAACGATTCATTTGAAGCACAGTGTAGATGAAACGAATTCGCTTGATCAAACAGTTTCAACTTCTCGCCATTTATATTCGTGGTGATACAAGCATTCAAAGTCCGTTTATCTCTCAATCTGATCAATTTACCAATCCAATTCATTCCAGATTAACTTTCTTCACAATGAAGTAATACTCCATCAATGAGACCAATCAATGTGAATCTAATTTAACAATGTCTATCTTGTGTGCAAAACTACAGCTCGTAAATGAGTAGGAAAACATGTTCCTAAGTTAAGAATAAGGGCACGATTGTTTGTCGCAACATAATACTTCCGTCAGTGTTAGCTTATTGGTACATCTCGTAAAAGCACCAAAAAGGTGGTCAAAATGCTCGTCGATTTCTTGAACTAGTGAGTTGACCCTCACATGTTACGTGGCAAATGAAACTAAACGGAGTTATCCACTGTTGATTTTGCCATTACCCTCACAGTAACTACACACCGTGGCAAAGTGAGCGCACATTAGGATAACTTTCGTGTCAAAAGTGTCCAAACGTTAAAACGAGTAAGAATTGAAGTTAGTCAAGTCTATAAACGTCCAGAAGTGTGTGGAAAATTACTATTTTGGACTATATGTTTCAACTCGATGATAAAATAGTGATATAACCTATAATCAGATAAAATGTCAGTTGCGATTATCTAGAGTTGTAAAGTTAATTTTAACAGACTGGGAGAAAATTTCAATCTTGATGAGAAATGACACCAGAATGACAGAGTCAGTCAAATAGTTGAGATTGCCATTTTCCATGTAGAAGAGATCAGTAATGAGTATGAACTGTACAGAAATCCTCAAACGGATACCATCATTACACAGTACATTCGGTTGAGCTATTCTTCAGTTAATCTAATCATAATGGGGTAGATCATATAATTCAGTCTCATTGAACAACCATGCGGGATGTGAAGTTATTGATCAAAACGAGCAAATTATTATCAAAAAAATGCTATTTGTCCTTAACGTGTTTCGTATCTGCGAAAATGATGTCACATGACTTCATTCGAATCAATAGTTTTGTGACCATTCATACAACATGCGGCTTGTTTATAGTGAATGCTTTACCAATATAATAGAAAACATCAACATTCCAATATAGACGATTCTGAACATAATTTCGAATTTTTATCTGTTTATGCTAAATTCAATGCTATTACATTTGTTGATGGTTGTGTAGTGGATGTGGAGTCGAAGACGGACTATGATCACCACTACAATTCGATTACGCGCCCATAAAACGACTTGGTTCCTTTGATAGCTCGTAAATCAGAGTGCTTTATTAATCCAGATCAAGTATATTTATTGGCGATCTCGTGGTATCGAAATAATATCGAGACGTGCCAAAGAGTACAGACAAAATGAGCAGTGCGTGAGCAAGTTCCAACCAAACAAGGCGGAGAGCGAAAGCAGAAGTGAAACTGATACAGTCAAACAACTACAGTAAAACAATCTCTGGTACAATTGGTCACAACAATAATGATTGTTTCTGTTATTCCAATCGTGTTCTTATCGAGACTGGCCGGTCACTACAGTTGTTTACGTGCAAGACTGTGCTACCTAACTGTCCATTCATAAACTAGAAAGTATCACAACTACTTCCATAGGGATTTTATTTATCTAAACTCCATTCATAGATGAGGCATGCCAGTTTACAGGCAACATCAAATTGTTACAGAATATACAGTCTTCAGTGTGGTTGGTTACTCAACTATATGGTCACAAAAAATGCCAAGAAGATAATGGACATAACACTCTCTTCGAACGAATATCAAGAATCCACAATCAGTGGATATAACACATTGATGCGAACGATCGAAAACATCTACAAACAATGTTTGAAGAAGGTTGTCACAATCGGTTTCGACAGTTATTAAAATAAAATGAACGGTCGAGATAATCCTTGCAAGTAACTCTCGCAAAAGCGCTGTGGAGAGAATGAAAACATGTGTTACAATAAGTTACTTGTGTTAAAAAGGGACACTACCTCACAGAGAGGATAGACTAGTTCGTTGGAGGACATGCATGAAATGCGCTGTCAAATCAACGTATGTTTCAGGCTTCTCTGTATAATTTTATTTTCCGAAGTGAATTGGCATTCATTCTAATTTGTGTTCTCGTTTAGCTGTTGATCTTGATGAGGACAAAAATGAACACTACTCAAACCCCATCCCCTCATTTGGTTCTAACAAAAGATGTACGTCAAGATATTGAAACAAATGTTCAGTTGAATATGACTACACACATTATGCGAACGACAGATGATATGTGTATTGGTAAAGTGGATTTGTGGAGATTGTACAACGCTCATGGTTAATATCATGAGTTGGACCTGGCCAGACGATTGTTGAAAACCTAGAGGCACTCGAGGGCTGTTTCACTGTAGTGCGAAACCCAGGAACAGTGCGCATCCGAAACTCAGCACACAGCAATCGAACCCAGAACCATCGGTTACGCACACAAGCGCCTAATCTCTGGACCACTGAAACGAAATCCAGCGGATTCAATGTCTAACCTAGATCAATTTACAATAGTGTCTAATCCCCATCCATTGCACGTGATGGATGATTGTCAAAAGTGACAGATAAGTGATAGAATGAACTATAACGAAAACATTTGACACAATAACTATTTCTGATTGAAAAGCTGTGGGCGGATGATAAACAATAATGCCACTAAAATATAGTTCCTTTTAAAATAAAAAGATATCAGATGTCATAATAATTAACCAACATTCTAATTAACAATGACACTGGACTCATTTATCATTCTGTCTGGAAATAATTTTCATAATTATACACATTGTTCGCCTAATGAAGGTCGATCCTGTTAGACAAAGAATGTAAGAAATTTGTCACAAGACTATGATAGAGTAATAAAAGTTTAATTTGAAAATAATCCAGTACTGTTGATCAAGTCTGGTGCCATGTATCGTCCAGTTCACAACTAACTGCAATGAAAAGCCATCCCGCAAAGATAAAGTCGTGTGTAGATTGTTAAGTGTCGGTAACATGTAAGCAACATAGATTCAGTTCACTAGGGAACCTGACACAAACAATAGAATAACAGTACCAAGAGATAATTAAAGAGCTTCTTCTTCTCATAACATTTCACATTGTGCGCGTCACTGAGGATGATATAACTTCATTGTCACAGGTAATTTTGATGGCATTTCTGCGGACATAGTTTGAGCTGAATTCGCCTTCCTAATGAAGTGCAACAACTGAACTCAGATGTACTTTAGTCCACGAAAATGTAACAATGCAACATTTTTCATATTCTTATGCACACACATTTTTGATCGCCGTTTCCATGACAGTGTGTATTGTAAATCGTACAATTAATTGATTAACCCATTACAGTGAACCTTTTAGCATTTGTAACATTTCGTTGTTGCCTGTGAATTGAACTGCCTTGTGTCATATATCAATGTTTGAGAATAACTTATTTTTATTTGGCATGTTAGGGAGCAAACTCCACCCGTAGCTGTTTTTGAGTTACTGCCATTCCCAAGCACAGGTAAAGGAGGAGGTTTGGTCATGGGGTTAGCGGCCTCATCCTTTAGAAAAACTAACTCGCTAAAAAAACGCTAACCCCAAAAATAATTCAAACCATTTAAACTCTGCCCTGGGAGTTGGAGGAAACACTATGACTCCTAATGATGAAAGCAGAAATTTCTCAAAAGTCGTGAGGTCGATGCACCTTCGAACAACCAGAGCGACACTCTTTATAGGTAAATTGAACGTCTCAATAATGTTTTAAACCGGGAAGACCAGTCAAATAGCAATGGAAATGAGGAGATACAACTTGACAGCACTCAGAATCAGCAAAACTCATTGAACACAGGCAAGGTACGGGAGAGATGCTGCTGTGATCCAGTTAAAATGCTTCACACTCAAGGAGTTGCTCTAATGGTGTATAAAGAAGCACGGGAAGCACTTGCAGGATAGGAATCTCATGGGTCCAGGGTAATCAATGCATCATTCAAAACAAAGAAGGAAGGGAGCACAATGAACGTTATCCAATGTTATGCACCTACCAATGATAGCAACGACGACGATAAAGATCAGTTCTATGAAAGCTGCAATCAACTATAGCGAAGTGCTCACGAAAGGACCTGACCATCCTGATGGGAGATCTAAACTCTAAAGTCGGAGTGGACAACACAGGATTGTGGCCAAGATGAGACTGAAGCTAAAGAAACATTGGACAACTGGACAAACAGCACTACAAAGTTTCAATACAGCTTTTCTTCGAGATACTGACAAGCTCAACGAATTTGAGATAACTCTCAACAACAGGTTCTAAGCTTTACAGGATTTACTGAAAGAACAAGAAACTACGATGGAGGAAAACTGGAAAGGGATCAAAGAAGCCTTAACTTCGACGAGTCGAGAGGTCCTTGGTCCTAAGAAGCATTATCATAAGGAATGGATCTCTATGGGAACGATGGACAAGATTCAAGAAAGGAAGAACATGAAGACAGCAATTAGCGACAGTCGAACACGAGCAGTGAAAGTCAAGGCACAAGCAGAGTACGCAGAAGCAAACAAGCTAGTGAAGAAGAGCATTAAAGCCGACAAGCAGAAATACCTCGGAGAACTAGCAACGACGGCGGAAAAAGCTGCAAAGGAAGGGAATATGAAACAACTATATGATACAAGGAGGAAACTGGCAGGGAGATATAGCATACCAGAGAGACCAATCAAGGACAAAGCAGGAAAGAGAATCACTGAGATTCAAGAACAGAAGAAAATATGGACAGAATACACAGACCTTCTTATAAATGTCAACTCACAAAGGATAGACGAAATCAAGATGGCCATCACACAAATCAATAGTGCGAAAGCGGCAGGACCTGACAATATAATAGCTGAAGCACTGAAATCAGACATTTAAGTAAGGATCAGTCGTGCACAGACCAGATTGCGATACTACAGATCATCATTGAACAATCAGTTGAGTGGACTTCAGCA